TTTTTTTTTTTTTTTTTTTGGTACAGGGGATTGAACTTGGGTCCTTGCACTTGCAAGGCAGGCCACGGAACCGCTGAGCTAAATCCCCTGCCCTGAAAGTTAGTTTTACAGAAACTTCCAATGTTTACCAAAGGTTCCTGATATTTCTCAACTCTGATGTTGAAACCAATTTCTCAGAATTTGTCGCAAACATGTAGAGACAGATGTTGAAGTTATTATGCACATATGGATCTATGTTGAAAATGAACTTCTGCAGAGGAAACACCTCTAAAGTCATCACAAAACAGAATGGTTAGATTTTCATGACACAAACTGCTATTTACACGGGCCATCATCCCCTGAGGCAGATTCTACCACTGGCCTTATTTTGTACATGTGGAAGCTGTCACCTGCTGGTGGCATCAGTTACCCAGGGCCACAGGACTAGTCAAGGAGGGCGCCAGTGTTCACCTGTCCCCCGTGCACAAGCCTGTGGATTACATATGTAGGTTGGAGAATGCTTTCCTGTCCCTAGTACGAGGATGGAGTCGCATTCTCCTCCCAGTGAGGCCACAGTAATAAAACAGCTAAGGAACGTATTTTTAAAAATTATATGAAGATGCTCATTGTTCACCAGAATGTGATAAATGGAAATAAAAGCCAAGTAGGTGTTCAAAGACTATCATTAGAAATCTAAGTAACGACAGGCTATGTCTACAAAAAAAATTATCTAGACGAAATCAGGCCCTTGTTCATGTGTTCAACCAATATCTATATTGAGACCACCCTTATGGGTACTGTTTCGTGTCCTGAATGAATGCTGTGTAAAAACAAAGCAAATTAAAGATGGCTCCTCTCCATTGGAAGAAAATTCATGCTGTTTTAATTTAGAGAAAGGTCCTGGAGTCTTGTCTCTTTTCCATGTCCAATAGTAATTATTTTTGTTCTCATTTTTGGTAAATCTTCATTTCTTTTTCTAATGGCTGTACAGAGAGGGGAATTCATACTAGCTTCTTACTGTTATTAACACGTTTATTGTTCATGTTAGTGTGATTGTGTCATAATTCAATAAACATGTGAGTTTTTAAAACGATGTAAAAGCAATGTTGACATCACATATAGCAATATGCAATGCCATTTTGAAAAAGTTCATTTGTTTCGTAGTTTTGTAATACATAATGATTACATTTGTTGTGGGGAGCTGGTATGAGTTCATAATGCATGCTGATTCTTTTTACTTCCCCTTTCCCTCTTCTCTCACCCTTTCATCTGTAGTCCCCCCTTCATATTTGATAACAATCTGTGTTTCCTATTACCTTTTAATGTATTTACATTTTGGGTTTTACAATGCATTGTTATAGATGAAAATGCATCTACAGAAATTATCACAAAATGTAATGGTTACTGCTGAGTAATTGGTGTATAAGTATGATTTTATTACAGTTCACTACTTGAGAAATTTCCATTTCAATTACATGTAGAATGATACAACATGCGAATAAAAGCTCATGAAGCTCAGGAGCAGGACAAATGGGAGAGACTGATCTTTCAGAGAAGCCCAAATACAAGCTGCTAGGTTGCCTAGGCAGCCACAGGGAAATGCTACTCCGAAAAGCACAAGGTATGCTGAAGTCTGAGTTTTAGCCAGCAATCCCCCAAAAGCAATTCCAGAATTTCCTGTCCCAGCTTTTCCTAGACTGTGAAAAGGAGAACAAAGGCCTCTTCAATGGAAAAAAAGCTCCATGTTTTTTTCTTTTGTTGTTCTTCCCCTAACAGAAAGGGTGCGGTGATCAGCACAGCGGGTTCACAGGGTTGCATGGAGGTGCAGTATTGCTCTCTACTGGCCATAGAAACTGAGTGCCACCATCATGCGAGGAAAACTCACTTTTTGAGTTTGTTTTTTGTTTTTTTTGCCAGAGCTCTGGAGAGGAGGGTTGTGGGATACAATCCTAATGAAGGAGAGGATCTCAGAATATACTAGAACCAGCCCCAAAAGGCCCAGAGAATGGTTCTGGCCAGGTAAGGAAGCCTTCTAGTCCTGCACCAGGAACCATAGCAACAACAGCTGGATGTCAGGGCTTCAGGGGAAGGACCCCACTGAGCTTGTTTTAGGATTGGCAGGTTCTGAGCCTGCGCATCCAATCCCACGTCACAGCCACGACTACTGCCAGGTCCAGGTCGCTGCAGTTCTTAGTCTCTATACTGTCCGTGTGGAATTGCCCTTTCTGGACATTTCCTATAAACTTACATATGCAATAAATGTTTTTTTTGTGTCTGTTTTTTTATACTTGGCAAAGTTTTTTTCTTTGAGGTTCAAACATGTTGCAGCATGTATGAATACTTTGTTCCTCCACAATGTTTTGTCATGTTCTACTGTATTTCTTTGCTTTATCAGTTCACCAATAGACAGACATTAAATTGTTTTCATTCTGGGTCATCGTGAAATATGAGCCACGAATATCTTAATATCCTGTTGTCTTATTAACCTGTTTTCTGTTGCTCAAGACACAATACCCCAAAACGGTAAGGTATACAGTAAAATGGTTTATTTTGGGACCTGGTGATGGTCTTCTTGCTGGCAGTCTCCAAGCAGAGCAGGGCATCATGTGGCAGGGAGACAGGAACGGGATAGAGCACTAGCTAAACCGGTTTTCATGAGACCCATTATCCAGATTAACCTCCTGACTAGTTGATCCACTCATCTATTAAAGGAATGAATGAACTAATCCATTAAGAACGCAGAGCACTAATCTGTTAAATTTCCCTGCTCCCATGTCTTCTGATCTCAAATTGAGGATTAAGTTTCTACCTGAATTTTGAGTAAAATCCTTAGTTTACATGTGGACATGTATTTTCCCATCTAATTTTATGTACATTTGCATTTATTTTTTGTCCTCAGTGGGGGTGGACATCCCTGCCTCATTCTCTTGGGGAAAGTATTCTTTCACTATATTACTGAGTATATTATGACAGCTATAGCTTAGTTGTAGATGCTTTTTATAGGTTGAGAATTTTCCTTTTTTTTCTCCATTTTGTTGGTGTTTCTATTATGAATGGGTCTTGGATTTTCTCAAATGCTTTTTCTCTGTTGAGCTGATCATATGATTTATGTTCCTTATTCTAGTGACAGGGTGTGTTACCTTATTTGATTTTGAATGTTAACCACCCATATATCTGTAGCAGAAATTATGTTGCTAGATTTTGTCAATATTTTCTCAGACTTGTTGCATATTCGTGATTCATATTAGTCTGCAATATACTTGTGCTGTCCTTGTCTATTAACATAATAATGCTATTTTCAAAGAATGAATTGAGAAATGTCCCTTTCATATTCTGGATTAGTATGTGAAGGATTGGTATTACTTTTTCTTGAAATGTCAGACAAAATTCACCCATGAAAATATCTGGGCCTTACCTCTCAATTGACAGGTTTTTCATTTCCTCTTTCCATTTCCTTTCAGGTTTAAAATCTGTCCAGATTTGCCTCTAGGGCATTCCATTTTAACCCTATTCTGCTGCAGTATTTTATCTGCTGGTGCCTTTAATTCAGTGCCTAGTCTAGAACTGGACATGTTGCATATTATCAGACAACACCAGATTCTAAGTCCTAGTCAGAAGCTTGATAATGTATTACATGTCACCTCCAGATCCTCTGCTATGCCCCAGACATGGGGAGGCAGATTAAGACTTGAAGATGGAGATATGGTATGTGGCCAACTGCTTTACTTATGACCTCTGGCATTTCCCACACAATCTCGGGTAGTCCTTGATTCACTCTACAGCAATACTTCAGCAAACTTGCTATGTCTTCATCACCCAATGGGGATCCTTCTTTCCACTCTAATGTCCTGGTAATCCATGCCACACAGAGGATCAAATGCTCAGTAGTAGGTACATCCATGGTGTATGCCAAGGCTTGAATGTTTTGGTTACCTCCAGGAGTGACAATGAATATTGATTCCCAAGGCTACAGTGTTAGGTCAGGCTTAAGGGGATATATTTGGGTCAGGAGGGCACCATCCTCATGAATGTATAGAGCTAAGAAGAGGGTTTGTAGGAGTCAGTTTGGCTCCACTGACATTTGAGAACATAATATTCACCCCATACCCAGGCCACTGAATCTTCCACCATGTAAGGACTCAGTAAGAAGGCCCACAAAAGACATCAGATGCCAGCACCTTCATTTTGGCCTTCTTTTGTCTCCAGAATTGTAGAAGAAAACTTCTTCTGTGTATAAACTACCTAGTGCACATAATTCTGACATAGCAGGAGAAAATGGACTAAGACAGTGCCCAATTAATGTAATGCTCAATACTGGAGGACCAGGACAAGCCCTGCAATTCCTCTTCAATGCCACACTGCAAAAGTCAGCAGGGCACAAAATGGGGAGAAGTCAAGTGAGAAAACTTTGGTGATTGGTTCAATGCTTGACTATCACGGACACTATGAAATGTTTTGGCTAACAGATTGGCCTTGAAAGTATACAGGGTGTGGTTTGGGGTTTGAGGGGTCAGGCAAAAGGTTGTGTCTCTACCCAGTACTTCACAATCTCTGTGAACTTGCAGCAAAGTGAGAGTACTTACCTCTCTACTTCACCTCGCAGTTGAGGAGTCAACATCACATCTCAGGAAGACTTGGTTCTTTATAAGAATGAAATGTCCCCTCAGGCCACTGGGACCCTCATGTCACCCCAGCTCTCACAGAGAAGAATGGGTTAGTTCTACCAGCTACAATGCAGCCTGCCTAAGCTTATATGCCAGTTTGGCCTCTTGATGCCTGTGTGACCTTGGCACATTCCCTAATGAGGACCTGGAACTGTTGCTAAACGATGGGTCAACGAGACGGGATGAAATGAGTGAACCATCAAGAATACAAAGAGACTCTGACACTGAGTAAACATCCGCAAAAGTGTACTGCTATGCTATCCATCTACACACTTCCAAATCACTGTCCTGATTTTAGGCCTATGCATATCAAGAAAGAAAAGCTGCCCTAGGAGGACCTAGGAGACAATCCTGGCAGAGTTGTCTTAACTCTCAAGCTCTTAAGCTCTCTAATGAGATCCCAAGTTCCAATCTAAGAAACTTACCTGCTCTCAAGATACTTCTACCAGCAGGAGACACAGATTTGTACAGCAATGCAGTCCTGGGGACTCCCTAAAAAGAGACTGACACAATGCAGATTGTTTTGGGCTCAGAAGAAATCTCAGGTCCCTGGCTGGGTGAGTGCACATCACAGGATTCTGTAGGGGAAAAGAAGGTAAATTTCATCATTCGGGCTTCTTCAAATTAAGACACATGTCTAAATTCCAGTAGGATTCTGAAATAACTCAGTGTTATCCTGGTTCTCAGGAAGCAGGTGCAAAACTGCCGTCCATAGTCACCAACCCAGTGTACCAGGCACCAAGGAAAGGCTCTTGAAAACTCATCCAGGGCACCAGTGCCAACATTCAGGGGCTCCTTCTGGGGCAGGGGCCTCTGCTTCCACCCTATGTACCAGAGGACTCTCTTCCAACCTCACTGCCTGGCTGGTATGAATGCTGGTCCCACTGAGGCACCTCAAAGAGTGGCTGGACTGTGTTCTGAGCCTGCCCCCTGCCCCTCTTCTGAATCTCCATGGTGCAGAGCTCCTCTTGATATACTCTGGCCTGCTGGTTGGGGATTTCAAGGGAGTGATCTGAGATCCAAAAAGAAACAAAACACTACTGATAACAAACCTGCATTCTAATGTTACTTTCCTTTCACACACATATTTATTTGGTGTTAGCGATGAGGAACCCAGGCGAAAGTCTTGCATGGGGGATTACTACTTGATTGCTAAGCGGCAGGGAAACACATACAGTCAGCTTATCATAGTCATAATAGTTTATACTGACAGTACAATGGTGAACCATCAAGTTCCAGTTCCACATCCCTTTCCCACACTTTGTTTGGCAGCAGATGTTTGTACCTAGATCTGTGTCAAGCAACCCCATTTCAAGCAGACCTAGCTCTGCTCCTGGGGGGCTGTCACTAAAATGGTACAACAGCACATGGACATCAACAAGGCATTCACACTACACAGACATCTTATAAAGATATCTCCCTGAAAACAAGTTAAGGAGCAAAGACGGAAATGTAGGCTGGAAAACTGACACACGCGGCATGGGAACCAGATGAGAGGAGGTGGGGAACACTGGTATGCAGTCTCCTCTGCCCCTGAATGCCTCTCAGTGCTCCACAAATGACACGCAGGAAAGATGCGCAATTTCTTGGTCATAATACAGGTCTCGGGTCTCCTCTTCCGATAGCAACTGTTTGGTCCCGAAAAGAAGCCCCCCTCCCCAGAGCTGGCAACACAGTACTGTCTGAATCCCTAAGGGTCTTTGTCCCATGAGGGTGAGCTTCTCAATTCTCCTCCAACCACTGCTTAAACAGCCGCTGGAACATGTTCTTGCTTTCCTGCTGCCTCTCCAGTTGGCGCTTTTCCTCTGACTCCTGCTGCTGCACTGGCTGCTGCTGCTGCTGCTGCTGAGGCTGCTGTGGTGGCTGTGGCTGTGGCTGTGGCTGTGGCTGTGGCTGTGGCTGCTGCTGCTGCTGCTGCACACCACCTGGCAGAATGCCAGGCCGGTTGGTACCCAGGCTGAGGGTCAAGCCACTGAGACCCTGCACAAGGGTTTCCCAGGAGGAAGGACTAGGGGTCCCATTCCTTTCCCTAGCGACCCCAGAAATATTTGGCATGTGGCCCTGGCAGTATCGACATTGGCATCTGAATCGATTCTGAGCTCTATCACCTGGGAAAGAGATGCTGGTTTCCCTTTCGACTGGGTAAGGTGCCATGTGATCACGGTGCCTGCGTCTGAAGTGCCCCAGGAGTGCCTTCTTCTTCTGAGGGAATCCCAGCCTTTCCCAGTGCTGCTCCAGCAGAGTCTTCTCTTCCCTGTACTGTTGCTGGAACAGTCCCTCTTGTACAGGCACAGCGGGGTTGGAGCCAGGACTGAGGCTCAGGTCACCGAGGCCCATCATTAGCTGCTCTGAGGAGGAAGGCTGAGAGGCTGCTGTGCCTTCTTGGGAGGTCTCTGCGGTGGGCATCTGGGAAGATCCAGAAATCAACCCTGGATTCCATTTCTGGCGTGGATCCATGGAGGTCTTGTCTACCAGGTGCTAGATTCTAGATGAGAAGGCGAAGCTAGAGGTTTTCAAATGACTAGACACGGGGTAGAAGTACACAGCCAGAAGACGCCAGACTGCAATGAAGGGTGAAAAGAAAGAAAACTCATGACTATTCGTCTCATTTAATCTTTCTGTACCTCCACTTCCTAGGTGTAAAATGGGGCTGATTGCATGATTTACCTTCTGGGCTACTTCCAAGGATTACAAGAGATAATACATGTCCAGAGCTCAGAGAGCTGATGGTACATCTCAAAGGTTGTAGAGACAAGCCCAATCATTGCAATCGCGAGGGACATGCGACGGTGAAATGTCATGAACAATATGAATTCCTTGTTCTTTTTTCCCATGGTAGGTAGCAAATGTTGGAGGCCCAACCACTGAGTTACATCCCGGCTCTTTTAATTTAGTTTAACATTGTGAGACAGCGTCCTACTAAATTGCCCAGCCTAGGCCCAAATTCTTGATCCTCCTGCCTGAGCCTCCCAAGTGCTGGGATTACAGCCATATGCCACCACACCCTGTACTTGCTGAGTGAGTTTAAGTCACTCTCAAGACGCATTATAACGATGAACAGTGTTGTGAGTAACACATGACTTTCCGATAAGCATTTCCATGCTTTCATGAAGTAGACGTTTATTAAATTGGAGTATTTATACCATAGCTACACTGGAATTTTTGCATTTGAGATCCTTGGCTTTAGTCAAAAGTCTGCTCTTGTATATGAAAATCATCTCAAAATTCTCAAATGTGTGTAAATAAGAATTTCTCCTATTAAAAGATAGGAGACAAAATAAAGAGATAGCAAATAAAAACAAAGAGAAACTGTATGGAGCCAAACATTGCTTTGAAATGATGAATTTAACTGATAAACTTGTACAAGCAAAAAGGGAGGAAACAAGTTATCAACAGCAGGAATCAAGGAAGAACTTTTATTAGAAAAACAGAAAAAAGACAACATGGTCATACCGCAATAAGGTCCATATTAAATTATATAGTTTACACAAAATGGACCAATTACTGGGAAATCATAAGCTACCAAAACTGACCAGAAATGAAATTGTGTGCACAGCCCTAAATCTTTTTTATAGAAATTAAATTTGCAGCGAAAAATGTTTGCAAAATGATCTCTAGGACCAGAGTTTGACTGGCAAATTCTATCAAACGTGAAATGAAGACATTACAGCAATTTTAAACAATTTCTTCCAGAAAACGAAGGAACACTCCCAAATATTTCATGAGGGAAAGTACAGACTAATATTTTGACTTAGCAAATTAGTACAAAGTTCTGTCTTAGCACAAAAATCTTCAACAGAAAATGAGCAATATATGAAAAGAATCATAAACCACGATCGAGTGGATTTTATACCAGGAATGCAAAGGTTCTACTTTCACTAATTAAAAATCAGTGAATGGAACCCACAGATTGTGAGTTTAGATGATGAAGAAAAAGGACAGGAACATAGTAATTTGAAAAGATGGAAAATCCACTAATGACATTAAAATTTCTAACACACTAGGAATAAAAAGATCACTTCTTGAACCTGTTAAAGGGCACGTAGAAAAAAACCGTACAACTAATATCCTACATGATGGTCAATGATTGAATGCTCTCTTTTCTTTTTTTTGGTACTGGGCATCGAACTCGGGTCCTTCAGCTTGCCAGGCAGGCCACCGAACCAAGGAGCTAAATCCCCGGCCCAAGATGGCCACTTATAACACACCTATTCTGCTTCATTGTGGAAGTCCTAGATTGCAGAACAGTCCGTAGTATACAAATGAGAAAGGAGGGATAATATGTTGTCTCTTCTCATAGATCTCATGACTATGTACTCGGAATACCCAGTGTATGAGGTATGATAAAAGATACGGTGGATTTTTAAACTTAAAATAAATTATTATAGTAGATATACATCGCCATCAAATCTCCTCAAAATAATCCCCCTTACTTCTAACAACACTTACCCAATCATTCTTGCCACTTTCTGAAGGAGTGTGGGAAGTCCTACTGTCACGGCTGCCTTGATGTCCTGAATCAATTCAAAATGTTTACCTTTGATGGCCATTTCGACTTTGGGAAAGAGCCAGAAGTCACATGGTACCAGATCCAGTGAATAAGGTGAATGAGGACATACTGTAATGTTTTGCTACAAGGCTGCCTTTCCACTGGATAGAACACAACAGCAGTATTCAGTATACATAGTTTTAACACAGTTCGCAAAGACTGAGAGAGGATTTCCAGAACTGTTTCAGACAATGACAAAAAGAAAAGGATAAGTGTAGTAGAATGGGGGGGGGAGTACTTTGAGGGAGGTTAATGGCAATGCGCATTTTATTGAAATATTTTTTAAAAAGTTAAACATTCATTATATATGCCGATCACAGCTCTATCTCCTTCAAATCTCTTAGAAATAATGGCTGAATTTAGTATTGATACGGAACACAAGGCAAACACATGTAAAACACCCATATAAATCTCAACTGAAAAACAATACTATTTATAATGGATTCAAATTCGTGCGATAATTAAATATAAAACAAAACATATACAGGATCTATATGCTGAAGACTATAAAATGCTCAACAAAGAAATCAACGAAGGGATAATAAAAACACTGTGCTCATGGATCAGAAAACTCAATATGGAAATAAGTCAATTATCCCTGAGTTGATCTGTACAATTAATGAGTTATCAACCCAAATAGTCAGCAATTCATATGCAACTTCCAAACTTCTGAAACAAGAATGAATTGAAGAATTCACTTCATCCAGTTTTAAGACTTGTCTTAAAGTTGCAGAAATGAAGAGTGCTGCTGGAATTAATACTGTCAAAATGGCCACGCTAACAAAACGATTACACAAGTTCAATGCAGTCCGAATCAAAATATCAACAGAATAATTCTCAGAACTAGAAAAAACAATCCTAAAATTCATATCGACCAGAACAGACCCAGAATAGCAGAAGCAATCTTGGACAACAAGAGCCAAGCAGGAGGCAACACATTACCTCACCTCAAGCTTACACAACCACAGTACAAACTATGCAACCATAATATAAACATCATGGTACTGAAACAAAAACAGACATGTAGATCAATGGAACAGAACAGACAATACAGAAACATCCCCAGACACATTGAGCTATTTGATCTATGACAAAGGGGCCAAAAGCATGCATCGGAGGAAAGATACCTATACAACAAAACCTACTCAACTAGACATGTTTGCAGAAGACTCAAACTGGACCCATATCTCACACCATGCAACCAGACTAAAATAAAAATGGTTCAAAGACCTACACATTAAGCTAGGCATGGTGACACACGCCTGTTATCCCAGCACTTGGGAGGCTGAGGCAGGAAGATCGCTGCAAGTTCCAGGCAAGCCCGGGCCACATAGTGAGTTCAGGGTCAGCCTGAACAACAACAAAAAACAAAACAAACAAAAAACCCCTCAAAAATAACAAACAAACAAACAAACAAAAAATTAAAACAGAAACATTGAACCTACTGGAAAATAAAATAGGTAAAATAGTTGAAGCCATAAGTGTAGGAAAGGATTTTCTAAACAGAACCACAATTGTACAACAAATTAAGAGCAAGAATCAACAAAGGGGATTACAACAAATTAAAAAAGCTTCTGCACAGCAAAAGAATCAATTAGTAGAGTGAAGAGACAACCCAGAGAATGGGAAAAAAATTTGCCAACTCTTCCTTAGACAGAGGACTAATGTCTAGACGATGTAAAGAACTCACAAAAAAATCAGACCACCTAAACTAAAAGACCCAATTAAGAAATGGACAAGTAAAATGAACAGACACTTCTCAGAGGAAAAAATGCAAATGGCCAACAAATATATGAAAAATGTTCAATATTCCTGACCAGTACAGAAATATAAATTAAAACAATGCTAAGATTCAACCTTAGACCAGAAAGAATGGCAATCATCAAGAAATCAAAAACTAACAAATGCTGGCACGGCTGCAGTGAAATATTTGTTGGTGGGCATGTAAACTAATATAACCATTATGGAAACTCCTCAAAACGAAACAAAACAAAGCAAAACTGAAATTAGAGCCGGGCCTGGTGGCTCATGCCTGTAATCCCAACACTTGAGTTGGAGACCAGCCTGGGCTACATAGTGAGTTCCAGGTCAGTCTCAAACATAGAGTGAGACCCTGTCTCAAAAAACAAAACAAAACAAAACAAAACAACAACAACAACTAAAAGTAGAAATTCAACGTGACCCAGCTATCCCGCTTCTAGGTCTCTTCCCCAAAGAGCTAAAGCTGTCATACTATAGCGATCCATACATACCAATGTTTATAGCAGCACAGTTCAAAATAGCTAAATGCTGGCAACTGCCTGTATACCCATCAACAGAGGATCAGATAAATAAAATGTGTTATCCATGCAGAATGGATTACTATGCGCTATAAAGGATGAATTTGAGACATTTGTAGGAAAACGAACGCAGCTTTAAAATATAAGGTTGAGTGAAATAAACCAAACACACGCTGGGAGTAGTGGCACACGCACGCAATCCCAGCACTTGGGAGGCTGCTGTAGGAAAACTACTGTGAGTGCAACATTAAGATATCACATTAAGATAGTGAGACCCTGTCTCTAAAACAAAAAGAAAAACGAAATCATATACACAAGCGTGAATATGATATAGTATCTCCCATTTGAGTAAGGCATAGTATAAAGAGTACAATAAAGGATAGATAAATGGAGAAAAGGGGACAGATCTCTTGCAAGTGGGAAGGGGTCCAAGAGAACATAGGTGAGAGGAAAAGGGGAGGGGAAGGGGAAATAAGTAGAATAAAGATAAAGATGTCTTTCTTACAGGAATATAGTAACTCCATGAATGTAAATACTACATGTAATAAACATGAGATGAGATTAAATAATATCAACATGAACCAAAATGGGGGAGAGGTGATTTAGAGGAGGAGGGATGGATGTGGGAGAAAGAAGGGGATTAAAAAAAAAAGAACCAAGTTGTATCATGTACATGTACCCGTTCCACAAGATGACTGCAAACTGCATGTACTGCAAACATGTACTAATAAAGGAAAGAAAATTAGAAAAAAAATGCTGTTGTCTTGGCAAGGATTAGACATGTAGACTGATGGCAGAAAATAGAGTCCCTAAATACATCCATACAAATATGATCAAATGCATCGATTTGGTTTTTTGAGACAAGGTCTCATTAGTTTTGTTGTTCAGGCTGGCCTTGAACTCACTACGTAGCCCAAGCTAGCCTCAAACTCTCAGAAAACCTCCTGCCTCAGCCTCCCGAGTGGTGGGATTATGTGCCACCGTGCCTGGCTGGTCAGATGAGTTTTGACAGGGATGTCAATGGGAATTCAAGAGAAAAGAGAATTTTCCAACAAATGTTGTCTATCCACATGTAAAAATAGGAACCTTGATATCATGACGTATATATAAAATTAAGTTAAGGGACAGAGATTTAGCTCAGTGGTGCCACCGCCTGCCTCCCAAGTGCAAGGACCCGAGTTTAATCCTCAGTACAAAAAAACAAAAAAATTAACTGAAAATGTATCAGAGACCCGAATGTGAAAGTACAATGATAAAACTTTCAGAAGATACTTTTTCAGAAGAACCTGTTCAGGACGAGACAACAAGTGCGAGCAAGTTTTCAACAAAAATCACAATGCATGAAAAATTTAA